CCTCCTGTTATTTTTTGCATTAGCCACGTCGATCATTACATATTTGGAAATTCTAAATTTGGAAAGAACCCTGACTGAACTATGAAAAACTATTTCAGCATTTTGGATTCAGCAATGATCGTTTATTAAGAGAGGCAATTTCGACTAACATGCTTAATCTTTATATCTTTCTTAATAAGCTAGATAATTCTGTAACTGTTTTGATTAATATGCCCCCTGTTGAAGCTCAAAAAAAGAAACATGTATATGCTAAATCATCCTCAAAATATAATAGGCCAATTGGCTATGATGGGCTTCTATTGCCTAACTATGTAGAAGTTTGACATCTTTTGGAACCTGGAGAATTAGAAGGTGGAAAAAAACATGCAACTGATATGAATTGGAGTCCTGAAGTTTTCTCTATTGAATCTTATTTGGTACAAGAAGCTCAACCAGTTCTCTATAAACTTTATAATGGTCCAAAATGCTCTTTTGTAAGGGAGGAGCTTCAAATTGTAAAAGATGCACAATTACCTCTGGAGTATATTCTTAAGCATTAGATTTCCTGCCTCTTTCCTCAACTTGATATATAATTTGTTCGAAAGCATTACTTAAATAATCATCTATTTCAGCCCGATTATATACTATAATTTGTTTATTTCTTAGCCAATCCCTTCTTGTAGGATTTTTCTTGTCTGTCTCCTTATTATCTCCTGGTTTTTTATCTACTATAAATTTTGTAAGAGAACATAATGCAAATTTGAATTGCCTGTGCTTATCAAATTCTTTTTCAAGTAAATCTTGAAATTGCTTTCTTTGACTCTCTAGCATTTTTCTTATATCACTTCCATTATTTGGATTAAATCTGGGGGCTTTTGCATTATGTACTGCTACAGCTCGTCTTTTTAATGCAGGGCCTAAATTTTGCTCTCTAAATATTATATTCTCTCCATTTTCTTCTGTAATATTACTTAGACATTGAAATTCATCATTTAGTAAATTTAGCCTTGCTAGCTCCTCTATTTTGGATTGTTTATCTAAAGATTTAGCATTTTGTTCTTCTGGAGTACCACTAAATGCATTTGGATCAATTTGCATTAACTGACAATCTGTGAATAAATCAGTGAGATGTTGATCATTTTGTTATGAAATAAAATAAGAAATTTCCCAAATCTCACCATCCTCACAAGTTAATTCTCATGTCCATACAAAAAATACAGAAAACAACCTTAGAAATTGTTAAATACTTCTTTAAAA